CTGGCTACAGAGCGAATGCAATGAAGCCTACATTGGTTGACGCAAACCAGGACTTGAGTGATCATCCCAGAGCTGAATCCTGGTTTCATTAACTAACCATGGTTAAAATAAATGATGTCCCATTATGCCTGAATCAAGCCAACGAGTGCAGACAATTAACGGATGACTAGGATTTTTCAGGTAAATGTTTTCAGTTCTGCTTTATGGTTTAAATAGTGATTTCAGTGTTACAAATACTGAAAGAGCTCTAAGCCAAGAGGGTGGTTTGATATATAAGTGCACCCTGGCTCCAGTCTGAGCTTGACTATTTACGACCATAAACTCGATAATTATGGAGATGCGGCAAAAGACAAAAGACGCAAGGAACGGCATTAACAAAAAAGCCACTTTTATTGAAAATGAGATTCAAACCTCAAAATTAATATTACAATCATGAGAGAATGCCAAACAAATTCAATTTACAGTTGCAACATACAATACAAATAGTCCCTTTGAAGATAAAGTAAACCCTTCCCCAATCGCTGTCTGCGGCACAAAGGGAAAAAAAATGTTTGTACAATATGTGCATGAAAAGCAAATCTTGGGCAACAGCAATTGGAAAAATATAAGAGAAATTAAAGCTTGTATTTACAGGAAATGCTACAAATATTTTGTTCCAGCAGAAATTCGAGACTGGCGAAGCATATTTAACAAAGCAAGAGCAACCAGCAAAAAAACAAACAACAAAAAACACCCAAATGGAATGTTGCTCATTGTACCTATGAAATAAAATTACTGTAAAAATATGGTTTCTGGCTGATCTATCTTAAAGCATTGCAATAAAGAATAAAGCAAGAAATTAACTGTAAACAGCTAGAATGTCAGGTAGAACATGCTGAAATGAAATGTGTATCTGAGACTTTAAAAGGCTGGGTTTTCTTTGATCTTTAGTTGTGATTTACACAGCATTATATTATTGCTTTTGTTCATGGCTTTTCTGTCTGTGACTCCCGATGCATTACTTCACCAGGACTCAAATGGCGGGCTCCAGCAATAAGATGGAGCAGTATTCCGGTAAACTCGACAGTGCAAAATATTCCCCTCCTGAAAAGGCATGGGAGGGGGAAGGTGGGGACCGGTAAATCCATGCTCTGGAGACTGCTAGCTAGGAGCTCAAGACTCTGTGGAGCACCCTCACATACGGTCTGTTAAACCATGCTCTCATGTCAACCGTGAACCCAATCCAACAACTTACTTCATAAAAGTAAGGATTTAAGGATTAAACTTGGTGTTTTATCTAAGGAAATTAACTGGTTCCCCTGGAAATAAATCTTTGGTACAGTTTCTGAAAACAGATTTGCACATGCGATTTCTTATCGAATCCGCAAACCGGGCTAGCATTTCCTCCGGGCTATTCTCGTCCTGAAGGTATTTATCAGAGCCCATAATGTGATTCCATAGCATTAACCTCTTCACACATTCCTTTCCTGAATCAAGATAAAACGTACTATGAAGGAGAGACATTGGGGGGGGGGGGGCAAAGGAGGTAAAATGGGGGGAAATATATCAGTCATGGTATAATTGTTTGCCAGTTCAAAACAAATGCAGGGCATTATTTGCCTAGAACTGTTACAAAGTTAGGAGCACAAGCCAATTTGGATGTATTTATTTCTATGGTGTCACCAAAGGATTAGGAACTATCCAAGATTGAATAAAACAGTTCCCAGCTGAAAGTTTAGGTCTAAAGAGAAAGAAAGAAAAGCATGTAAAGGGCTTTGTTCTCCTCAGCAGTATTTTTTGCATCTTCTCTCTTGCCTCTCCTTATTATTGGTTGTTGCCTTGCAGTGCAACCCCAAACAGAGTTATGCCCTTTTAGATCAATGGACTTAACGCGGCTAAGGGCTGTACTGTCAAGTATGCTAAACGAACCATTTTTTTTATCTGTGCAGTCATAACAACGGGGCACTCAAAACTGCACACCTGAGTGAGTCAAAGAATCCAGTTTTAAAACAGGATGATACAGAAAGATTATACCATTGGGACAGAAGAATAAAGGGGAGAAAAAAAAACCAGTGATCCAGGAACAGAAAGCAGTGCTTGAATTTTACAAGAAACTCTTTCTAAAATGTGTTTGGGTTGCTGCCTGCAGCCACTGTAACAACACAAAAACATCCTTACAAAAATTACTTAATATGCACATAGTAAACCTTTAAAAAGCCCTTTTCAGCAATAAAAAATAATGTACAAATATAGTACCTTTTTATTAAATACACAACAGCTTTTGCACGGGCAGTTCACTTTCTTTTTCTCTTGCTTAACAAACAACATCACCACACCCCTCCCCTCACAAAACTTGAAATGTGTAACCAGACACTGGCTTTCTTAAGTGCTGCTGAAATGAATAAACTTATTTTACAGGTAACAAATACAACGGACCATGGTACACTTCAAGCCACCACAGACAATAAATAGAATCAATAACCGCTTCCATCTTTGAAGGAAAAAACTACCCACCAGGAAAGTGTCTCTTGACTTACAAAAAATAAAAATAAAAATCGCACTTGGTACATCTTAACCTTTAGAAGGCAAAGAGTTTTCCTATTAAAAAAAACAAACACAAATGAATCGAGCCCAATCGTTGGGAAGGTTCTGTGGGGAACTGGAGACCCTCTAGCGGGTGAGGAGGCTGACACTGTCCAACTGCAATGTTATTGGCACTTTTCACTATTCCGTATTGTAGAGGTGGCCAAAACATCTCCTAGAATTATCATTCATTTCAGCAACATTGCAGTCCTGTCTGCTGCGGGCAGTTCGGTCTGAAAGCAGTGCAAAGAGGGGAGGGGAGGAGTCTAAGAGGGCAATGGACTCTGGGAAGCTGGCAGCTCTTCGAGCTACAACCTGATCTGTTTCTTCCCCAGCCCCACGTCCTCCTGAAACTGAGCTCATGCATAAATCTGAGGACTAGAGGCAGATTCCAGCCGCCAGGTGCAACACGATCTTATCGCTCTACCAAAGTCTAAAGAATTCTGAGTGACTTCGGAAAGCTTTCGATCTCAGGCGGCTGATAATCAACGAATCCAGCTTGTCCTCTGGGCAACAGTCTGGAGGGTGGTGGATGGATGGATTTAGAGTCCTAGAAGGGCTCACAGATCACAAACTAGCGACCAGGCCTTAAAGTGACTTTCGTGATCAGCATTCCAGCTTGAGCAGATAAATACTGCCGAATGCTGAGCCTGCAGATCCGCAACGCAGTGGTTTACTTGTGCTTATTCCTTTTTATCATGATTGCCATCTCTCTGGAAAGATTAAACTTTTTTTTTTAAATGAAGAACCAACTTTACTCAGCATTTGATGCTAGCTAGATAAGAGCTCTACGACTGGGAAATGTCATTATATTTTCTGGAAGAGGTCTGCTATTTTACTTGGGGGGGGGGGAACCCTGACATTTTGCAGTTCGACCCTGAAGCGCTCCTCCCCTTTAGCATTATAGGGATGTTTCCAAGTTTTCTGAATGTTGATCAAAATTTGAGAAAATCTGGAATTTGACCGAAATGTGTTGGCTGGCATTTGCGTGCTTTCGTGAGTGCACGGAGGAGGGGGCAATGCAGCCTCTTGTGCTTTAGGCTGCTCCTCCACCGGACACCTGGCCTCAGGTGGGGCTCTTGGGGGGGGCAACTGCTGGAGGAGCATGGCTGGAAAGCTAGAACAAGTGAGCAGAACACAGTGCCCACAGCAGTTTTGGATCCTACCTGTTAAATTTTGAGGAAGTAAAGCGAAATTTATCTAGACGAACTTTCACTTTCGTTCCCAATGAATGTTTGATTGATTAAAAAGGCAAGTCTGTACTGGAAGCAACCAAACCTCCAATGACATTTAAAAGAGGATCTCCTTCATAAATTAAGACAATGTGCTACATCCAAATTCCTTTAAGCATTTCTTTTTTACGGGGGGGAAATATCACTGGAACTGCTTTTCAGGGCTTGAAGTATTGTGCCACTAAAGACTGTCACTATTTATAGACAACAACCATTTTTAGAGACCGAAGTCAGTATATCATTACATTAAGAAAACTTTAAAGGGACCAAAGATCATTAAATAATTATAAATATTTCTTTAAAATTATATGACGACTTATTTCCCCCCCCAAACAACCTCAAATTTTACACATTTATAACTTAATAAAATAAAACAAGATAGCCAAAACACGCATACTATCTATACTGTTTTAACGTGAGTAAGATATATTGCCATTCTTCTTTTTTTCTTGCATAAGAAATAAGGTTTCAGTTTTTAAGAGGATTTTTGTTATACCCCCAAGATATTTTTTTGGGGTTGACTAAGGCAAAAGCAATCACATAAATGCAGAACAGAAAACAGACCGGGCTGTCTGGGTACCTTGCAAGGTGCTCTTCTGAAGCAGAATAAGTAGTGCACCTTAAAGTTCATCTGGCGCAGCGCTTTGATAAAATGGAATTACTGTAATTTGAGGATATTTGAAGATATGGAAGCTGTGCTCCTATGTACACAAACACAAGCAGTGAATTGTGTTGTGCACGCACAGGGCTCCTATACATTGCTAGGCTGCAACCGTACCTGAAGCTCAAGGCGTTTTTTGTTTATTCTGAAAATCAAATAAAGCACAGGCTTTGCCTTAATAACTAGCAGGAGTCCATTTCTCTTCGCTTGGCAAAAGAACTCGCTAATTCTTTTTCTTTTTTTCTTTTACAAGATTGTGGACAAAATGGCCATCATTCCCCCTCCCCCCCCTTTTTGGTGTGCGAATTGTTACTTTTTAATATATAAAACCTGGGCAAACATTCCCGAGAAGGAAAAAAAATGTGCTTTGAGCCACATTGACTGGAAGTATGATTCTCATACTGTACGTATACAATTAGCTGTTAACATCCCCAGCTACACAGTTGCACGTATCAACAGAATCTACTAAAAACAGGCACTTTATAATTAGCTGACCCTTTTTTCCTTTTTTTGGCTCACAGACTTTAGGCCACACAGATAAAATCTCAGTACGGCCTCCAAACAGACTCATCCATTCGGCCACTAGAATTCAAGACCGTTGGGGAGCTGCTGTGGCTTCCGTCAGCTTCCACGCCGTCATTCTGGTTAGGCAAGTTAGGGTTTAATAATGTGCTGCCGTTGGACGTGGTGGTACAGGGAGGAAGCATTCTGGAGGGGGAGCGGTCTCCCCCAGGCACCATGGGGAACTGGTATGATCCTGACGAAGTGCCATAGTAGAGATATGGAGTGCTGCTGGTCTGGAAGGGTCCACTTTGGTTTTGGGACGAGCCTGGGTAAGGTGGCGGTAAGTAGGTGTGGTAATGAGTGGTGGCCGACATACCCAATGACATGCCTGAGGTGACTGGCGGTGTATAGGTAAAGGTAGCTGGATAGTGCATTCGTGGGTTGGAGAAGCGGCTCTCAGTGAGGGATGAAATGCTTGTGAACTGCCTGGGATCTGAAAATGGGCCCAGCTCGGAAGCACCTAAAAATTGTAACAAAAGATGGGGGGAAAATTCTGTAAATATCATTTTTTTTTTGCTTACAAATGATGATATAACTTTAAAAAAAAAGAAAAAGAAAAACCCATTTCTTTAGTTCCCCAAAAGAACAGCAAATCACACTATATATACACCACGTGGAATTGCACCCAATACAAATGGTGGCCTTATATAACCTCAAGAGAATCCATGACCACCAAATACCGGAGGGGGGGGGGCTGCTAATAACAATGGATGGGCATTTGCAGAGATACCTATTTTAGGGTCCTAACCCACCCCAAAGCCTCCATATTGATCAATGAGAAATCATACAGGTTTTGATTTGATACCTACCAGAAACAATAGCAACGGAAGCCGCCTGTTTGGCACTCAGTTTTTCAGCGGTATAGGAAGCCAGCCTTCTTCTGCTAGAAACCTGGACTGCCCTACAGCACTCGTGCTTAGATATTCTATAGGCAGTACTGTACATGTTTTATATATTCATGCACCCACTGTAGGTCGGGAATCTTATTTTGTATCCTAAGATGACTTCATCATTCATTATGGGAAGGTGGGATAAGCACAATTTGAACTTTCAGAGGACAAAAGTATGTCTAACCTTGTTTATGTGTTGGAAAGTGAACATGGATGGTTATATGGATACATGAAGCTGCCTTATACTGGTCCATCACATCCAGTATTGTCTACTCAGGCTGGCAGCAGCTTTCCAGTCTCAGGCAGAGGTCTTCCATATCCTCTATGACATGATTCCTTTAACTGGAGATGCTGGGGATTGAGCCTGGGACTTCCGCACGCCAAGCAGAGGCTCTACCACTGAGCCATAACTCCTCCATAGTTGAAGTTGGATCCCATGTAAGATTTCCACTAATGGAAAAGTGGGTATTTTTGCTGATCTCTCTCCCTGCTGCTGATCTCCAGTTCTTTAATGTTTGCTGGGGTCCCTTGTCCCCGGGGAGCAATATTTCAGGGATCATTTGGGACAGCAGCGACAGTGGGGAGGCAAGGATGTCTTGTTCTGCTGATGGAAATCTCTTCCACCATTGGAGATTAACCGTGGGATCCAACCCATGGGTGGAACTGTAAAGTGGATTTTTATGAAACAGCTTGGTCACGAGAAAAAAACAAAAGCACATCGAAAAATACTAGTGAACCATTTAATGTGCTACGAAGAACTGAAACAATGTTTTCAGCTAACCGTGGTTTAATCAGTTAAAGGACCTGAAATCTGGACATTCACAAGCACAAATTACCCTCTGCCATCCTCTCTGCCTTGATCTGTTATGGATGCTCAAGATGGGGACAACTATGGTTAGTGCTAACTGGGTCTGTTGATTTAAAGCTGGTTATAAATCTTAGGTTAGAAGCAAACCCTGGTTTAGTTTTGGTTAAGATCAGGCAGACACAACAATGAACCATAGCTAAGGGGCGAGGGGAAGGGCTTGGGGTTGTCTAGGCTGGCAGACTCCCTGATCACTGGCTCACTTGAGATTCCTTAACCATAGCTAAAGGATGGGAAGCGTTATTTCTATACCAGCCCAATGGGAGGCAAAGAAAAGGTAGAATAAGAGGAGGAAAAGTGCATCATAATAAACTCCACATATGACACAGAATACAACAGAACCACTGGCTACTTCCTATTTATTTGTAATTTTTCTTCCACAAATAATTGGTGAACATTTTCTGAAGAAGTGAGCGATGACTCACAAAAGTTCATACCCTACCACACATTTTGTTAGTCTTTTACGGTGCTACTGGATACATATCCTTTTCTATTTTCCTTCTCAAATTACAAAATAGAGATGAACAGAATAATGAACTCAGACAGGCTGTCTCTAAATTCCAAGCTGGGAATTTTGCAGACTTTCCAGGTACAGTGACATTCATTTACCTATTCCCCCCCCCCATCTTCACTATCAAATTCCCCAATATCTATAAGATCATATAGAGCAAGGGTCTCCAACCTGGGGCCCATAGATGCCTTTCCTGGTGCCTGCCAAGCGTTTTTAGAAAGTGGGCTTGTGCCCAGTGGGGCTTCTGATTGACCACTGGAAATCTGATTGGCTGTTCAGACTTTTTTAAAAAAGAAGTTGCTTTGGCAGTGACTACTACCATCCCGGCACAAGAATCTTCACTGCATAACTGAAGGTAAGCCGGGTGCACGTGAGAAAATATTTTTTAAACAATATGCCCATTTTGAGCGCTCTCTTGTTAAACACGGCTTCTGCCTGAAATGCTGAAGAGCTGCTATTAAGAATTATACATGACTTCACTCCCTGACACTTAGTAGCCCCCTGCAGCAGCCATTTTGTGATTGCGCCCACCACCCTGAGCCACCGTTCCAAAGAATTTCACAGACTGAGCAAGGTCGGGAACCCTGGTACAGAGGTTTGCTGCATTCTTTAAAAAAAAAAAAAAGCCAATTTTGTGGATCAACGTGGCTGAGCATTTAATTGGTCCAGAAGAATTATGTAAAATGAACCAGTGATCCAATAATCACTCCTGCATTCACTAGCAGGTGATACCAAAGGCAAGTCATCAACTTAGGGTTGCCAGATCCGAATGACATGCTGGCGGGGGACTGTCAGCTACGCTGCCATGAGTGTGAAGATGTTTTCTAATTGCTTTGCATTCCTTCCCATGCGCTTAATTGCTTCAAAGCTGCAACGCTTATCTTTAAAGTTATACTGGTGGAGATTGTGGTGTCTATCGTCCGTGGGAGCTTCTCCGTTCCCAGCTTCGCAACCGTTAGAGAGTCTTGCAGTCTCCCACGTGCGGGAGCCCACCTAATTGGTTATTGCTGGGGGGGGGCGCATACGAATGCCCTATATCCTATTATGCACACAGGTATCCCGTCATTCCTAACAGTGTTCATGTTATCGCATCTATGGCTTTTCAATAAAAGTAAAACCTTCCTGGAAGCGTGTACTTCGTTGTTTGGCTGTGGGTCCTGACAGGGACTTACCAGGAAGCTCCAGGAGAGGGGAGGGAAAAAGCATGCCATGCCTATGTAACCCGGAAGTGACATAGGAACGTCAGTGGTGACGCTCTGGTTTTTGGGCGAAACTCTTATGGTTTGAAGCTAATTCCGCCATAGAGTTTTGCCCAAAAACCAGAGCACTGTCCCCCAACATCACCGACATGCCTTCATCATGTCCGGGTGACATAAGCATGTTGCGTTTGGGGTGGTAACTTTACCCTGCTGGCCAGCTGACCAGCACCGGAAACCAGGGGGGACCTGGCAACCCTACATCAGCTACACTGGGCTTAATGTGCAGTCAAATAATATTATTTATGTTAGTTATTTATTGGCCACTAACACCAAAAAAAGTCTGAAGGTATGTACATAACAAGTGAAAATACATTTAAAGCAACAATATCTTGGCACAATTAACATAATAAGTGTTTGTTTAGTCAGCTGCCAATTAATATTTAACCAGGCCTCTCACACAGCAGGCGACTTTTCCCCAGGGGAATCCGTTCATGAATCCTCTTATAGAGCACATACTGTGACACGACGCCATCTTAGGGGAAATATTTAGCCAACTACCATCCTTTTTTAACGGATTTATTTTGCCCTTGCTGGCAACTCTGGAATTTTAAAGCTCTGGCTGCTGTGAGCTGTTCCTGAAGAGGGTTAAGGCTTCACCGAAGACCACGTGACACACATGAGGGGAGTGAGAGAAAAATGAGGATTTATACCGGGGGGGGGCAGTACTTTAGGGTAAATTAATTGAGCAGAAATCGATTTCAGGGGGTTGTGGCTCAAGTCAAGGCAGCAACCAGTTCATGGACGTAGACAAATTATTTCTGTTGGCCTTGTTAGTTTTCCTTCCATAAAAAGTATATAGCTGCACCAAACAGGGGGTCAAAGAGTGGCCTGACTCCACCCTCCGCCTCACACTCACTTTGGGAAGCAACTGACTTCCATCCAGCCTAGCATGCGATTGGCAGTGGCAGGCAGTCAAATACGTGTATACGTGTGAGAGACCCACAAGGATTTGGGGAGGGCATCGAATGTTCCCTTTCCCCCACTATTTTCTCTTCCCCAGACCTGACAGTCTCTATAGCCACTCCCGTTCTCCTGCTTTTTTCTCTCCTTTGCACACACCACCTAATTTACCTTTATCTGCCTCCCTGTCTTCAGCTTTCCCTCCTTCCTTCCCCCTGGCAGCCTCTATGTGGAACAACTATGTGGAACAACTATGTCCAGCCAACCCTGCCAGACTGGACTCAGTTGCACATTAGAGAACTCGCGGAAATTTGCAGGGGGCACCTCGTTTCCCCCTTTATCCCCTCCCACACACGATTTCCTTTTTCCCGCCTTTTGGCAACCCTCATATATTCACCTATCCATGCTTCCTTCTTTCCTTCCCACCCACCAACCAACCTTTTTATCTGCCCTTGTGTCTTCAACTATAGTTGCTATTTCATTTATACCCTTTCTCCCCCAGTGGGGACCCAAAGCGGCTTAAATCACTCTCATCACCTTCATTTTAGCCTCAAAACAACTCTGTGAGGTAAGTTAGGCTGAGAATGTGTAACTGGCTCAAGGTCATCCAGTGAGCTCCCATTGCAGACTGGTGATTCAAGCCAAGGTCTCCCAGATCCTAGTCTGAAACCCTAACCATTCCACACTCTGACCGATTTCCTACGAGCAGCTGCATGCCCTCGCTCTTCCCTTTCCCCCAATTGTATTCGTCAATTTCCCACTACTTGATGCGTGGCCACATTTTGACCCGCAGCATCCCCCGATTTCCCTCTCTTCTTGATCCTTGTTTTTTGAGATCGAGAAGATGAAGGGAAATTTGGGGGATGCTGTGGGTCAACATGCAGCCGCGCAGCAAGTAGTGGGAAATTGACAAATACAGTCGGGGGAAGGGAAGAACGAGGGCAGCACAGATGCTTGTGGGAAATCGGTCACTGACTTTTGTGGGGTGGCTGTTGTTGAACAGTAGCAGGCAAATGGGCCTAGGTAAGTCACGAA